TTGTTTAGTATACAAACAGTGGCCAGGCAACGCTTCAGATTCAGTTCAGAGCAACAACCCAGCCCCAGTTCGAAGCTCATGAAAGTCTCTTGCTGGGATGTGCAGCGTCTCTGCGTTCCACAACATCCCTTCCGGATTGGATCCAAAGCCTTGCACCCCCTTCGCAGACATTAACACGGCTAAAAACAAGGAAGAGCGTCTCTTCCTTGCAAAGGCCAAGAGAGCTGAAGGGGACAGAAGATACGTATAGTCTGTATCTGGAAAGCACAACGCTGGGGCAGGCTGATTTACGCTTTCCATAACTGGCAACCCTAACCTCATTTGTGTCATCAGTTTTAAACAATAGGAGGCACTTTGGGTTCTATACCAGCGTTTCTCAACCTTGACCACTTTTAAGATATGTGGACTTCAACTCCCAGAATTCCCCAGCCAGCATGGCTAGCTGGGGAATTCTGGGAGTTGAAGTCCACACATCTTAAAGTGGCCAAGGCTGAGCAACACTGGTCTATACAATTCGATGAGCGCCAGAATGATTGTACAAGGGCAGAGCTGATCGTATTTGCTAAAAAGGAAAGAGGAAAACTCACAGCCAGACTCATCTTATCAGGAAATCCATATGAGAGATGGGAAGGATAACTTCTTTCTCAAATGCAGCAGAAGATCAGAAGACGTCTGGTAGCACCTTTTCTGACTCACCCATTTTCTTAAAAGGCATCCGCTTTCCGCAGCTCCCGAAAGCGGACGCCCTTAATAACACCTGACTTTTTGACCACCGTGGACTAACCGGCTCTCCTCCTACACAGTCTACAATTAAAAGCAGCAGGAGGGACTAACCACAGCAGAATCCAGCTGAAGCAGCCTTCTAGAAAACGAGAGGGCCCCGGCCCCCAGGAAATGCTTGAACAAAGCAAGTAAGAAATACGGATGGGATAGGAGTGAGGCCCCCAGGATTACTACGGCAAGGTCAGTTCAGGCGGAGAATTCGCTCTCGCAAGAAGAGGCAAGCAGCGCAGGGCCCAGCAGCCTTCCACATCTGTCTCTCCTTGCCAAAATCCCCGCCATAGCTCTGACCCCTCCCCACTCTTTTTACCTGGCGGCACAGATAAAAACGCAAATCAGAAGCTGAACACCATTGAAATACTCCCTCTGTTTGGCACAGCAAGACGAGGTGGCTTTCCCGGGGATCAGGAAAATCTAGGTGTGCGACTAGGGTGGGGAACAGAGAGCCCGGCAAAAGAACGATCTAACGCGGGGGGAAGCAGATCTCAAGGCTGGGCCCCTGGACAGGAGAGAAGCGCCTGCCGGAGACTCCCCCTTGACCAAATTCCCCAACGCCCCAGAATTAACCGATTCAGAGGGTTTATTTCCAGCACCTCCACGCTGAAAGTCACAGCAGCTCCACAACACCTGGCCTGCAGTCCATCGATGGCGCTCCAGGATCTAGATGCTGGCGGGGGAGCACCTTGTTTTAAAGCTTCATATTAAATATTAAATACTCTCATTTTAGCCATACGTTACTTTGTCAAAGACAAAACGCCCGTGGAGCAGCCCGGGGCTTCCTCTCCTGAGCGCTCGCTGCCCCAGCGCAACCTTCCCAAGGGGAAACGGGGAATCCAAGGGGCTGCAGGCCATCTTGCCGAGGCGCTGGGGGCCGTGGGCGGCATCTAGAGCCCGTCGACCCCCTCTCCTTCCTTGCAAGGCACCAAACACCGGGCAGGGCCAACGTTTCCGAGTTTCATTTTCCTTTAAATAAAAAAAGCTCTCTTTCGGTTTTAGCAGAGAAGTCTGCCGGAAAGCCCTTCGGGCGCTTTTGCTACAGTCTTCCGCGGCTCTTAGAGAAGGGAGTCATCCGTGCATCCGCCTTCTAGTCCATATCGGAATTCCTGCAGGTTGGAGACGCCGTAGAAATGGATGAAAGCCGCTGCCACCACCAGGACGTGGAAGATCTGATGCGACTGGAACTGCGGGAAGACAAAGGGCCCTTTCAAGATGGAGAGAACCAGGGCTGCGAGCGCCCCGGCTTGGCCAAAGGGAACCCCCTGCTGCATCTGCCCTGCCCTGCCCAGTCCCCGATCCAAAGCTGGCCACCTATTTATGGGTCTGGTGGTGCCTCCTGAGATACCAGCATGTTCCTGTGGGGGTTAAAAACACTCGGCTGCGGAGGCATCTGAAACGGTCAAGATGGTGGTCATGCCTGCGGAACTGAAGCCTTACCCTTTACATGTTGCAACCCACGCAGGGTTTTAATTGTGGTTGCGACCACCACCTTGTTTCTTTCTACCACCCCCTTGCTCCCCTGCCCGTCTGGGTGTAATCTGGTAGTGCAACTTTCCTCCCCAATGAAGAAATCTGTCTTATGTTTCCCTGTGATCTGTTCAACGATATACAGAGGGGGACAAGAGGCTGACAGGTTACTCCGGTTTTCTGCAGGCTGGGACCCCTCCAGAAGTGTTGGACTACAACTCCCATCATTGCCGTGCTGGCTGGGGATTGCGGGAGTTGTGGCCCAGCCCCTCTGGGAGGAACTCAGCTTGGGAAGACTCCTTAAAAGGGTCTGCCTTGAAACAGTGTCCTCGTTCCTCCCTTTAAACAAAGATGAAGATTAAGCTATATAGGCTGATTGCTTTTTGGGGGGGCGTTGAGATGAGGAGGGAAACTCTGGATGAAGGTCCGGATCAAGGGGAAGAGTCTGTCAACAGGAGGAGAGCACCGGTCAGTTTTAAAAGGCAGTTTTTAAAGAACGGAAGCACTGAAACCGTCGGTTCAGAGGTTCCCACCCCAGTGCAACCCGGGTGCATTCGCATCCCCACGGTCACCGTATGCACAAGTGGGCTCTCTGAAAGCCACCAAGAGCCTGCAGCTGGGAAAGACCCTCTGTAGGCGCCTGTATCCAAATCTCCTGCAGTGGGAAGACTCCGGCCTGGTCCAAGGGACTCGTGTCACCTGCATGCACTAACTCCAAACAGTTTTCTGGGGAGCAACACAAAAGTGGCTTGCCACTGCCTTTTCCAGAAAGGTTTTTTTTCTTTCAACTTCTTAGCCCAGCCAACAGCCCTGGACTTCCTGGTGCTCTGCCACCCAGCTCCTAATCCGTTCCACGCCTGCTAAGCAGTGCAGGTTTAGCCAAGGTCAGCGAGGGCTTGCCGTGGACTTCAGGGCTTAAAGCTGGGTCTGAGTTAATTTCCCTGGAGAAGTAATGTCCTTTTCAACTTGACGGGGGGTCCGTATTGTTTTCTTGGCAACCAATGGAAGCGATTGGCTATTCCTTTTATCCAGGGTGTTTGGTAAGAGGAATCAGTGGTCACAGTGAATCAGGGGCTCCCCACCCACGTTCTTCTAGCACAGTGTTTCTCAACCTCAGCAACTTTAAGAGGGGTGGACTTCAACTCCCAGAAGGGAATTCTGGAAGTTGAAGTCCACCCCTCTTAAAGTTGCTGAGGCTGAGAAACCCTGCTCTAGCAGACCTAACTGGCTCCCTTGCAGTGATCCACTCCGTTTGGCTTCTGGAGAGCAGGACCTCCACCCCCCAAAATCTCTGCCAGTTACAGCAGGTACGAGGCCCGCCCCACGGACAGACTTACCCAGATGTCAAACTTGCCCGGAAAGAACCGTTCAGGGATGCGGGCCGCGTAGAGCCCAGCCCCGGTTATGTACATCACGGCCATGAGGAAGAACCAGCCCATCTGGCCCACGGTGGTGGCCTTCGCAAACCCTTCGGCGATAGTGAAGTGCATGGTGGGCACCACGCCGCTCAGACCCAGGCCAAGGAAGACCCCTACGAAAGGAACCAAGACACTCCATCAGCATCCAGAAGGGAGGCTCCGGGTCCAACAAGCCATTCCCGTGCAAGGTGGCGCGCAGAGGAAACCCTAAATAAAACATGTAGCAAGGGAGGAAGAACCCAAAAGCAGAACCCTAACTCACAAAACAGTTGCCTCCACATCCCAGCTGGTGGATCTCCACCCATGCAGCTGTAAGAGGAATATAAGCAGCCAGTATGGTGGAGATCCACTGGATTTCCCCAGCTTCAGCTCCTCAGTTCCTGCTGCACCTTCTGGATCACGAGCTTTGGAGACCGAGCTACACTTTGCACTCCATCCACCCCAGGTGCAACTGTATGGAAACCGAAGTTTATTTTCCCCAGACCCTTTCCTTACATCGATCATCTGCTACACTTGCTCAGACAGATAATTTCTTCCGTTCCCCCTTCTAAAACCCCAAATCTTGACTGCAACCCCAAGTTACTGGGAACCCCTTTCCCAGGAATGTTCACCTGGGAACATCAAAGGGCTTCTGTAGCTGCAACTTGTTTCCTCAAACAGAATTTTGTCTTCTGTCACCCCCATGGCTCACTTTACCTGAAGTCTTTTGTTTCAGTCAGCCTTCTCCAACCTGGGCACCCCCAGAGGGGTAGAATTCCCAGAATCCCCCAACCAGCATGGCCCCTGCCAAAAATTCTGGGAGTTGGGGGAAGGCTCATTTCTCCCACGAATCCCCTTTGGGCACAACGCCACCACTCCGCCCCATTCAGGAAAAAACCATCCGACCTGCTCGGGTCTGCCTGTGCTTCGGGGTAGCAAAGCGATCCCACTGAGCCACAATGATGGCGGAGATGCCCAGGACGCAGACAATGGAGAGATAGATCAGTCGAGGCTGCGGAGAGCAGTAGAAGGAGTAATACAGCCAGGGCACAAAACTCCCCATGATCAGCAGGGCGATTCCGGAGTAGTCCAACCTGGGGAGCCAACACCACAGGGAGAGAGCGGGCTCAGCACCAAGCGGGTAGAATCACACAGGGGTATTTGGCCAGAAAAGACATTGTTGATGGTCCCCAAGACAGACTGAGAAGGAAGGACCTGGTGGGCAGATGAACAGAACAGAAGCTGTCTTTACCCCAGATCAGCTCCCCTGGCCCCCGGGCCAAGCCTCCTCATCGGAATCCCCCCACCTCCTCCAACTGCTTCTCCTTAGGAGGTGGGTGAGTTTGCATGGGCAGAAGGCAGGCCCCCCCACCCCTCGTGGCCCCATTTTGGCTCTTGGGCTTCTTTTGCAGCTCTCCCTCCGGCTGATCCGTTCTCTCCCACCATTGCTTCTCTCATTCCGAGGAGGAGGAGGAGGAGAACGGAGCCAGGGCACGTTCTTAAAGGGGAAATTCTCCTCGGGTGGGAAACACCCGTCTTGGGACAGGCCATGCACAGGGGCGAAGGCCAAAATCTATCTGGGAAGATCTCTGAATAAGCATTGAGCTGACCTGGAATTGGGAACATGTTGTTTTCCTGGCAACGAGACAAAACTATTGTGCACCACCTTCTTCCCCAAGTTTTTTCTAGCTTCAAGGCTAGCCAGCAGCTCTGAGATGACCTATCGTTATTCCATTAGACTAGGGTTCTTGGCAACTTTAAGACATGTGGACTTCAACTCCCAGAATTCCCCAGCAGGGTCTGCCTACCTGACTTTGCCCCTACTCCTATTCCTATTCTTCCAGCTTCCTGCCCACAAACTAAGCCTGCATGGAGGAAAAAAAGAAAAACCTGCATATTTCTCCCAGGGTTATTTATCCGACACTCAAGGCAAAACAAAGGGGAAAAATAATCAAGAAAAGAAGATCAGTAAATTGTAGCCTGAACACTTTCCAGCCGCAACGGCTGGAACAAAACATTTCGATGATGTGCATCTCTATGGGCCGATTCGGTTGAAGCTTCTCCAGGTCTAGGGCACAGAGGCTGGTTTTGCTCTTTGGGGGATGAACCAGTTTTGCTGCTGTGAAGAATTAAGAAACACACACAGCTGCTTCCAGCCAGGCCCATTCTTTCCCCACCCCCCCACTTACTTGGAGAAAGTCCGGGACACCTTTTCCGAGTGACAGTAGACAGTGTGGAACAGCCAGGAGAAGCTGAGACACAGGACGGCCCCCAGGAAGAACATGCCGAAGACCACCTTCTCCTGCAGAGGAGCCAGGAAGTACATGTTTGGCCGGAGCATGGTCAGGACTCCGAGGCAGAGGAAGAGCACGAAGCCTGTTTGGGAAGAAGAAACGGGGGAATCAGCCGAGGTGGGAGAGGTCCCGTCTCAGAGGGGCTCTGTGCAAGAGCAACGGAGCGGATGAAGAGGCTCTCCATCTCTGGGGCCGGGGCACGGACGACAAAACTGAAGGGCAAGAAGTCAAACGCGATGCTTCCTTGGCCCTCTTCAACCCGCAGCTCCTGCTCTTTACTGAGATCCCTTCCTCCAGTGTGGCTCGATGCAGTTTGCTTCTAAAAGTGTGCCCTCCTCCAGGCGGGCTTCGAAATGCTTACAGGCATTGCAGGGCTTCTACACTGAGCCTCTTTCTCCCTCTCGCAACTCCTGACAGCTCCCGAGGCAAACAGCTGCCAATAAGCGGGCAGAGCTGTTGACCCAGCCGTGAATGGGAAACTCTGGGGCCAGCCTGTTTTGCAAGCTAAGACCGGCATTTAGCAAAACTCTCTCTTGGCAGAAGTTACAGCAGAGGGGGTGGGGGAGACTGAGCAAACCAGCGGCTTGCTTTATCCCCCAACTTTGGAAATTGGCGTTTCAAGGGGTTTCCTTTGCTAACCGCATGGGTCTGCTTCCGAGGTGGCCTAAGCTTGTGTCTGTTATGGATGATGGCTAGACTCCAAGACTGTCACTGAGACCTTGGCTTTCTGCTAAGGAATGTTAGGAACGACACAGAGGGTTGGAGTAGATGACCTTTGTGATCCTTCCAACTCCCTTCTAACAGTTCTGTGTGCTTTGACCATCATACTTAAGACCAACAAACCGCACGAATGGGTCAACCGTTGGGTATGTCATGGACCAGCAGCATTAACACAAGGGGGACATCCAACCCAGCCACCCTAACGTATCAAATAGTCTAAGTTGGCATCTCCCTCTCCTCCTCCTCCTCCTCCCTCGCCAGTCCCATCTCCCAGTTTACCATTACAGGTGGCAACTGATCCACCATCTTACAGTTAAGATTTGGGATAGCTCTCTATCATCTATTGTATGTTACAGCCACTCCAGTGTTATCAAGCACGGCCCTCCATAGCAGATGGTTTTTCTGATCGTTGCGAGCAAGCCGCTTGACAAATGGTCACCGCAGCAGCCCACAGGAAAGCCATCTGACCCCCCTCGGCGAGCAGCAGCTGAAAACCAACGTATTCCCAAGCCGGTTTAAAGTCTGCAGCAGGGAAAATAATACCTCTGCAGTGGGTGCTGAGTCATGTGACAGCCCATGAGATCCGCCAAATGCTTTAATCCACAAGACCTCACTCCGCTGCCCGCCTTGCCCAGCAAAACGTTAGTGCAACAGCGTGTTGTAAAAGGAAGATAAACGCAACAGGATCAGATATAGCAGCTTTCTCCGACTGGGTTGCGCTTTCTGTAAAATCCGCAGGGCATATCGCTCAGCCCTCCCTCCTAAAACGGCTCCCATTTAAGAATCCAAACTATACAGGAACGCAGTGGAAATCAAGAGGACAAATTTTTCAAGTTAACAGTCCAGGAGCACAGATATTAAAATGGGAACACCATCGATGGAATTCATTCGGCACAGACCCAAAGCATCTGGAAATCAAAAGGCAGGCTGAAATCAAAAGCACCTGAAAACCTCAGGTGGCTGAAGAACACTCAGGAGGAGACCTCTTGAACTTCTTGGAAGACAGCACCACTCCTGGATCGAAGGTAGTCGAAAGACTCATGATGGCGCCACAACTGCGCGACTGAAGTCCTGCCCCTTTTTGGTTTTTCGGGGGGGGGGGGGTTGTTTTTCCTTTTGGACATTCAGGATCTTTCCTGATTTTGCTTTCTGATTTTACGGTCTTTAATTTCAGAATATAAGCCACCCAGGGTCATCTGAAGTTGGGCAGGCTCAAAATTTAACAGAATAAATAAAAATGATGTAGCAAAGAAGGAGTTAGATTAGGACTTGGGAGCCCCAGGTTCAGGTTTATCCTCAGGCCTGGAAGCTGCCTAGCTAACTTTGGGGCCAGTCCCTCCCACTCAGCTCAACCTACCTCACAGGGCTGTTTGGGGGGTAAAACTAAGGCAGGAGACCTACGTAGGCTGTCTAAATGCCCTATAAGAAAGGCAAGATATAAATTGAAGGAAGGGAGGGAGGGAGGGAGATAGAGACAGATATAGATATAGATAGAGATAGAGACAGATATAAAGATAGCCGAGACAAAGAACAGCAGTTGTTTTGGCTGGAGAAAAGGCCTTTGCAAATTTAAAACAGGGACAGCCCAAATCTGGGTTCTATCTGGTCAATTCCAGACTCACATCTTACTTGCTGATGCTGAAGCGCCAAAGGAAGGAAGATCTCGGGGGGAAAGGATTTGTTTGTTTGTTTGTTTTTGGCAGCCTGGCTGCAGAAGCCACAGATTGAGTTACCTAGTAAATGCGTCCAGATGTTGCCTGTCTCGGTGTGGATGCGGAAAATGCTCTTGAAGCAGGCTCTGAAAGAAGGCATGGGGGGCCGATGGCCATGCAGCAAGTAGTCGTTGTCCTTCAGCCAGTCAGGCAGGACATCGTAGGGGATCACCCTCCACCGGCCTTCCCAAACCTGCAACACACAAAGCCAGTGATGCCACCAGCCTGGCGGGGCAAGCCTCTCGCTGGGGCACTGCCCCTCCTGCCTTGGCAGCCCGGCTCTCAGGACTCTCTAGGCGAGGCTGAGCCGCTGTGTGCTAGTTCCTGGCCCCAAGGCAGACTCCCCGCCCTCACAACACACGGAGAAGGCAGCCAGGAGGGGCATAAACTGCCTCTGCCCCAAAAGGAGATGATCCTGAAAGGAAGGGGACACTCCCAATCCCAAAAGGAAGATTACAGAGGGAGAGAAGGAAATCCGCTGGTAGTATAATCTGAGCAGATCTCTCCCGTTTTAAAAGTAAAATCTTTCAGGGGGGCGGCAGGGAGCTGGCTTTCCTTTTAGGCAAAGCGAAGTATCTCTAACTTTGGAAACCCTCTAGGTCTCAGGGTTGGCTACCGCCTGTCTCGAACAAGCCGTCATTTCGTGCTGAAATAGCGGCTTGGCTGGCCTAAGGTCCTGGCAGGCTTGGCCAGCTGAGTGGCAGTCACGGCTGCGTCACAAAGACCCAGGGTTGCTGTCTCAGCCAGCACGACGCAAATCCGCTCTCGCTGCCCTTCCCACGGCTTAAAGACCCCCAGCCTGGCGATTCTCAGGCTTGTTCCAGGGTGGCAGCTGACCCGGCCAGTTCTCCTGCTTTGGAAATTCCAGCTCTGAACCTAACCCCCCCGCCCGCTCCGGGTCTGGCACCATGCCCAGGCTGCATTTTCCTGCGAGGAAGGAAGGTGCCCGCTGAGCCCAGCGGGAACCAGACCTGCTCCTTGCTCCGAGGGCCGCTGAACCAATTACCTTGTAGACAAACTCCTCCATCTTCTCCATGGCATGGTGAGCTTGCAGCGGGAGAGTCAAGACTCTTACTTCCTCCTCCTCCTCCTCTTGGGCAGCGGGACATGGCTGGCACTGAGCCTACGGAAAGAGAGCATCCCGAGGGTCAGACGGGGGGCCGGGGGGGCTCTCTGAGCCCAGAGCTACGCAGCCAGATGCATCTGTGATGTGTGTGCCCCCCGCCGGGCTTATGGCTTAAAAGTGGTATAATGGCTTCTTAAGTTTAGTTTGGGGATAAATGAATGGGCTTCGTATCTCCCTGCCACCCTCCCAAAATTACAAACTCAGAATTCTTTTATCGAGGGTTATATTGAAGTTACTTTCACTCTTACAGTTCTTTTCCTAGTCATGTGGTCATTGGGCAAAGGGCGTCTTTACTGTCAGCCCTTTGGGGTAAGCCAAGTCAGGAAACAGACTCTACAGGAATGCTGGACTTCTGGTTTATGGACAGAGGCTGTAGGAACAGAGTCTTGAAAGCCTGACTGTGTTTTCCCTCTTATACCCTAAGGCAGTGTTTCTCAAGCTCAGCCACTTGAAGATGGGTGGACTTCAACTCCCAGGATTCCATCCTGGCTGGGGAATTCTGGGAGTTGAAGTCCACCCATCTTCAAGTGGCTGAGCTTGAGAAACACTGCCCTAAGGAGTTATAGTGGAGTCATATGAATTTCTTTCTAATTTTTTCCCCATTTTCTAGACTTAAAACATGTTTTTGCCACTGCCACCGTGTATTTTCTCCAGGGTCATCTCTGTGGCTCTCTCCCTTTCTGTTCTGTCTCTTATTCACTTGGAGCCCCAGGTGATTAGAGACAATTAAAAGTGTAGTTAACCACATAAGGAGACAGGTTACAGCACAGACTGTGGCTCTTTATCTGGATGCATTATTACAGAATGCGTGTTTAATTGACAAATTCTCTTCTTTTCTACATACCCATCAACCCTTTTCCTTTCTCTCTTTCTTTTAACGTCCATTTCTCTTTCTAGCTTCCCTTAATTTTAGGGTGCCTATCTTATGAAGAAGCAGCCAGTTCAGGCATTACTCGCTGTCGTCATCATGTTTCACAAAAAAAAGAGAGAGAGAGAGAAAGGTGTGCTTTTGCGAGGAAGCACCTTGGAGCAAGACACTGGGCCGGGCATGTGGAGAAAGAGAGGCTCGGGGGGGGAGCGAAGTTGCGACGACAGAGGCACAGATGCCCCTTCCCCTTCCCAAAACCTCAAAGATGATGAAAACGAAGGGAATGAGGTAGGATCACTTTGAGGGTGTGAGAGCCTGGGCTTGTCGCATCTGGCAAGCTGGCTACAGGATGCCAGCTTCACCCGAGAGGCACACCCTGGTTTCATGCGCTCAGATCCCGGATTTGCTGCAATTCAAGGAAAGGATCACAGCCAAGGCGAAGGAGGGCAACCCACATTGGCACATCAGTTTCTCTCCCTGGCTGAAGCCCAGGAAGGACACCGGCAGCGAGCCGAGGCCAAAAAGAAAGGACCCATTCTCCTCTTCGCCCAGTCCATTCCCCCACAAGAGCAGCTCTGGGGCCGAAGGGAGGAAGGATCGCCAGGGCTGAGCTTCCGTCAGCTGCATTTTTAGCCCGGGCAAGAAAAGAGGAGAGGCTTGAAATGAAAGGAGAGCTCCTACTGAAACGAAAGAGGAGGTTGGAGGCAAAAGGCATGGGGTTTGCACTGGACCACGAACGGATTTAATTCATGCTCTCAGGGTCATGCAGCTGCCCTTCCCTGGGTTTTGCGATGCGCGTCCCTGCTCAGAAACGCTTACAAAAATATATACACCCTGGGAAACAGGTCCCATGTGGAAAGAGCAGACAAAAATACTGAACAAAATGTCATGCAAATGTCACAGAAGGCAAACCAGGGAGAATTTTCCATCCTTAATCCTCAGTTATACTTTTATGGCCAGTTCTACAAATTGGTAACAGAGCAAGCAGGATTTAAGAAAAAAAAAACTGCAGAGGCCACTCTGTAAATTTCTAAGGAAATTTGCACGCTCCAGTTGCGGATCGGATAGTTTTGCCAAATCATCGGTTTAAAGCAAAGGCATTTGGCTCAATGCCCAAGAACTATATTGGTACATTAAAAGTGTGCATAACCTGAGCTAGGTCCACTCTCTTCAATATGCCAATATAGTAGACACTCCTATCATACCAGAAAGCTCACAGGACTGATTTTACTCACCTAGTCTGTGAAAATAAAGAACATGTTCTTTATTTTCACTGTGTTCTTTTCCCCCTTTTTGTTGGAGGCCCTGCAGCTCTCCTGGCAAGGTTTTTCAGAGGTGGTTTGCTGTTGCCTGCTTCCTGGGGCTGAGAGAGAGTGACTGGCCCAACGTCATCCAGCTGGCCTTGTGCCTAAGGCAGGACTAGAACTCCGGGTCTCCCCGTTTCCCCGCCTGGTGCCTTTAACCACTACACAAAACTGGCACTTTCTCTTAACTGTATGAATAAGATGAACAGTTCAAACGGCACTGAAGACCTTTTTAAGGTGGAAAAAACAACACAGAACTTTTCTTTAAAATACGGTGGCAAACTTGATGGAAGTTGAATCTAAAGATTAGAAGGCACTAATTAGGAGCTGCAAGATATTTATGCTTTCCCAGCAAGGAATCTGGAAAATGTAACATCCTAGGCTGAAGAGGGCCAAAAGTCTTCAGGATGAACTGGGAAGTTATTTTCCATCACAAATTCAGATGCAACGCTTTGCAGAAGTAAACAGATGTATCTGAAAGGGAGCGTGCTGAAGTCAATCCTTTTACCTTCAGGTGACTTACAAAGGAATTGTCGCAAAGCTGATTCAATACGCAGGTCTTTAACATTGATTTTTGACATCAATGGTTGGAAAGCTACTTACGGTGGCCGAATTAGCTGCTCCCGGATCGCCCTTCTCCTCTAAAAGGGGTCCAAGTTCAGCCAGCTCCACATCTTCTCGTTCTCTGCCATTGCCCGAAGGTGCACTTCCTGGACTGGTAGCCAATCCTTTGCGCGACGACATCTGGCCAGCATACAGGCACCAGGCCTTCTCAGGTGCAAAAGCTAACCAGCTCCAGGCCGCTGCGGCACCCACTGGAGTTCTCACTAGGAAGAACAAGTTATTTGCGAGACCAGCCTGCCTCGAGGTCCCCCCACTGCAGACACATCTTGCCTATTTTTTTTGTTGCCAAACAAGGAACATGCTACATATCATTCCTTTCATCCATTTCACGAGATCTAGCCCCTTGAAAGTATTGCGGTAATTCACATGAGCCTAATGGTGAAAGGAAGGAGGGAAGAAAAGGGATTTCTTTGCCTAAAGGTTATGCATCGTGGCACACGCCAACTAAAAGATGCACCCCCAATGCACAGAGGGAAGGAAACTTTTTCCAAGCAGCAGGCTCAAACAAGCAATCTCTGTGAGCACAACGCTTTTTAAAACTGTCTCCCAATGAGCCTTCTTTAAAGAAAATTAACATTTTTTTCATTAATGTCTCAATGAACGAATTAAATAACCACACCTTAGGCCTCAATGTGTGATTTCCAGTCTCATACGTGACTCCGAAACTGCTGAAGCTATATTCCCCCAGTTTACACTGCCTTCCCGGTTGTTACAAAAGTTTGGGCAACAGAGTGCTCAAGGCTGGATCAGCATCGGTCAGAGATGCTCTAGTGGAGCGTGCACCGAGAAGGGGGTGAACTAGATGACTCTAGGGATCCCTTCCACCTGAAAATGCACTCCTAAGAAAGTGAACTGGCCTCGCACATTTGAGACCTCAAAGAGCTCTGGGTTCAAAGCCATGCACAGTCAACATAACCATGCTTTATAAAAGCCTATCACAGCATTTCTTAGTTTGGAGAATCGGTGTGAATTTCATTTTCTGGAATTTCCCAAAAGAGCATGACTACTGCTGATATATTTATTCATATAATCCTCTGTATACTGCCTGGCCTGCAGCCCCATGAGCAGTTAATTGTAAGCATGACACATCAATTTGCCTACATGTTGCCCACTGACGCCATAAAAACAGAATAAGCCATAATTGTAAAATAGTCTCTAGCCTAAATGGCAGCCTGTCCACCATTACAGGTAGTCCTCAACTTACAATCATTTGTTTAACGACCGTTCAAAGTTACGACAGCGCTGAAAAAAGTGACTTACGACCTTCGCCGCGTCCCTGCAGTCATGTGATCCAAATTTGGGTGCTTGGCAACCAGCATGTATTTATGACAGTTGCAGCATCCTGGGGTCACGTGATTGCCATTTGCGACCTTCCTGGGGGCTTCTGACAAGCAAAGTCAATGAGGGAAGCTGGATTCACTTAACGACTGCCGCAAAAAGGTTGTAAAATCAGGCATGACTCATTTAACAACTGCATCACTTAGCGATGGAAGTTCCAGTCCCAATGGTGGTCATAAGTTGAGGACTATCTGTAATCGCCCTAAGCTTGTCGGAACAGGATCACCATTACAGCCTTCTGGATGGGTATCAGATTTCCCCACCCACCCAATGGCAATGCTGCCCCACAGGGTGGAGGTGGCCACCAAGAAGGATTGTCCCCAAGCCCTAGACCTCTTGATTCATGTGGGATGGGGACCCTCTACATCCCCTCTTGGAAAGGGGAAGAGGATTCTGCAAGTTCACACAGCAGGCAAGGGTGCCCAGATTGGGGGAAGTGACCAATGACACCATAATTTACCTGTAATTTGAAACTAGTCAAAATGACTCATCTAGCAATAAGTAGATGAGAAGAGATCCAAATCTCTAAGGGAAAAATAGCTTCTGTCCTGAAACAACGAACGACATCAGCTCTGCTGAAGCATAACTGGAGCTCATCTGGACAGACAATGGCAGGCATAACAGAGTAGAATACTGGAAAATTACAGACAGGCAGCGTAAGATGTGAAAAGATTAGAGCAAGCTTATTTTGGCAATACTGCTATCCTTCTTGGCGGGGGTAGCCTCTGATCCACCTTATCAGGCTGGGTAATTAAACAGTCAGGCCTGGTTCCTATGCAGATGGGAGACCACCAGGAAATACCAGGGGTGCTGCCTAAACCGGGAAGTCAATAAACAGCCTGTGAGAGAGCAGTAGCAGACTGCTGCGTGGTTCCCAAGAAAACCACACTGGTCCATCCATGAAATCACCAGGAGCCACATTAACTTAAAGGAGACTTGATTCTTTTTGTATATTATGCTAGCAGGACCACCTACCTCACAGGGTTGTTGTGGGGAAAAAATTGGAGGAGGGAGTAGTTCTATGTCTATCGCCTTAAGCTGCTGGAGAAATGGCGGGGCAGAAAATCTAAAGGGGACTGTGACTGATGCAGACTTTGGCTGACCAAGGATCTAATTCTGCTCTTTGAAGGCTGCAGTGAGATCAAAGAGAAGACAGGCCACATTCTTTGCGGGTCCAAGAAGAACCAGATGTTTTGACCTCTAAGGATGGAGGCACCTTCTCACCTGGACAGTTGGTGACCTGCAGCTATTAGCTCCTTCTGGCTGAAGAGGTGAATGATGGGGGCAGGGGGGGTGAAGGAGCAGGAGCAGGCGCACGTCCACCCTCCAGGGCTCAGAGGTCCCCGCTGTGGCTAAGCTGCTGCCGCGGCTAAAACGTCTAAAATAAAAGTTACATGGAACCCGAAGTTAATCAGTTGCTAGAGCTGTGGCTACATCAAAAAAAGACATTACTGGGAGCTCAGCGGTTCAGAGTACATTAACTTCCTCATTTGGCAATTCCCACAAAGCTCAATCTGTACTGGTGTTAATCTCCCCCCCGCCCCGCCCCCGCCATC